CTTCTTCCCAGATGAAACAAAAACATGAACATATGCTCATTCTCTCTTTCTGCTCTGCTCTTTCAATTACCTCCCATGTGAAATGTTAATTCCAGATTATTTTCACAACTATGCACTAACACATTCAGACTTTGTTTTATACATTTATGTATTCAGCACTGCTTCTTGTGTGCTCTCTTCTATTTTAGTAGTAGTAGTAGTAGTAGCAGTAGTAGTAGTAGTAGTAGCAGTAGTAGTAGTAGTAGCAGTCGTAGCAGTAGTAGTAGTAGTAGCAGTAGTAGCAGTAGTAGCAGTAGTAGTAGTAGTAGTAGCAGTAGTAGTAGTAGTAGTAGTAGCAGTAGTAGTAGTAGTAGCAGTAGTAGTAGTAGTAGTAGTAGCAGTAGTAGTAGTAGTAGTAGTAGTAGTAGTAGTAGTAGCAGCAGTAGTAGTAGTAGTAGTAGTAGTAGTTTGAGACAGGGTCTTGCTCTGTCACCCAGGCTGGAGTGCAGTAGTGTAATCACAGCTCACTGCAGCTTCAGTCTCCTGGGCTCAAGTGATCCTCCCACCTCAGCCTCCTGAGTAGCTGGGACTTCAGGCATGCGCCACTGCACTCAGCAATTTTAAACAAATTTTTAGTAGAGATGAGATTGCACTATGTTGTCCAGGCTGGTCTTGAACTCCTGAACCCAAGAGATCCTCCCACCTCAGCCTCCCAAAATGCTGTGGTTACAGGCGTGAGCCACTGTGTTTGGCTACTCTCGCCTTTCTTGGATTACATTCCATTTTGCTGGAGTCAATCAACCAACTTTTTCCTCAAAGGTCTTTGAGGGATAACATTTTTGAGCATTTGCAAATTTGAAACACTCTGTAAAGACGAAAAATGGCACATTCATTTCTTCAGTCTCTTCATACCTGAGGTGATGTGGTTTGGCTGTGTCCCCACCCAAAGCTCATCTTCAGTTGTAGCTCCCATAATTGCCATGTGTTGCAGGAGGAACCCAGTGAAAGAACATTGAATTCGTGGGAGTGGTTTCCCCCATACTGTTCTCATGGTAGTGAGTAAGCCTCATGAGATCTGATGGTTTTATAAGAGGTTTCCCCTTTCACTTGGCTCTTTTTTCTCTCTTGCCTGCCACCATGTGAGACGTGCCTTTTGCCTTCCACCATGACTGTGAGGCCTCCCCAGTGATGTGGAACTGTGAGTCCATTAAACCTCTTTCCTTTATAAATTACCCAGTCTTAGGTATGTCTTTATCAGCAGCATGAGACTAGTACCTGAGGAATATGTTCTTTCTGGCAAACATGCAGGGCAGCAAACACAAAGGCACTCTGGGGCTGTTTCTTACATCTCCCTCCTACCACCTTAACAATTCTCCAAAACATTGCCACGAGTTTTGAAAAATATAATAATGAAAGAAGGGTTTGCTCCCATCACCATGTTGCGAGCTCTCTGGCAAAACCACAAATCCCAGAAAATCACTTCTCAGACACCTTCCAGAACTCATGTCTTTAAGGTTCATGGTAGGAGGCTTCCCGTGGGGGAACGTCCCTGATGAAGACTCTGTCTGTCCTTCACTCTCTCTCAATTCCCCCAGTGCTCTGAATATGTGGCTTTTCATGTCCCAGCATGGGATGATGGACAGATCAGGGCAGATGGTTTGAATAAGACTCCTACTTCACCTACCTCATGTTTCTTATGCATTCATTTAACACCTTTTATTTTGTCAGCATTTTATTTTTATTTTTAATTGACAAATAATATGTATATATATGTATATGTATGTGTGTGTATATATATGGTGTACCATGGAATGCTTTATGTTCACAATGTGGAATGATTACATCAGGCAAGTTAATAAATTTATCCCCTCCCAGGAGCAATGTTTAATGATCTACTGCACAGAATGGTGACCATATAAGTAATAATGCATGATATATTTTAATGACCACTTCTTCCTAATCTAAGTTCTGGGTTAAGAAAATTCAACCTCAGTGTTTCTTGTAATAAAATAAAATTACTATCATCTTAAAGTGCCGTTCCAGCCTCTTGTAAGTGTTTTAGCATGTTTATCTATTTAATCTTTGCAACAACTCTATGCAGAGTTTGCTATTGTAGTCATTTTAAAGTTGAGACATTGCACTACAGAGAAGTTAAGTGACACTTATTTTTCCCTAGCCAATAAATAGAAAGAACTTGAAAAGCAGACATTCAGTTTTAGAGTCTGCATGTTTCGCCACCATTTTTTGTTTCTCTAAAAATGCTGAATTGTGGAGGACAGATTGGCTACTTTGACTCAAATCCCCTGGATTAACATAAAACAAACCGAGTCTTTTCCTCATGGCCATTTCCTTCCAATGGCTCAAGAAAACATCAATGACAAGTCTCTAGCATGAACACCTGTGGCATGCTTGAACGCATTGACCGAGTAGTTGAGAAATATTTGTCTAGCGCCTCCTAGTGGCACATTAGTGAAGTGGAGGCATAATTAATTGGTTCATTCAGGTCAAAGTCTGCAGTGTGGCTACAATGTAAAAAGGAATAAGAAATAGCAGAATCGGGGCGGGCACGGTGGCTCACGACTGTAATCCCAGCACTTTGGGAGGCCGAGGTGGGTGGATCACCTGAGGTCAGGAGTTCGAGACCAGCCTGGCCAACATAGCGAAACCCCGTCTCTACTAAAAATACAAAAAATTAGTGGGGTGTGGTGGCGGGCACCAGTAATCCCAGCTACACGGGAGGCTGAGGCAGGAGAATCGCTTGAACCTGGGAGGCAGAGGTTGCAGTGAGCCGAGATCGCACCACTACAGAATTGAATAAAGAGAAAACGATGGATTTTCGGGTGATGTAGGGACCTGCTAGCTGCTCCCTCTTTCTCTCTCTCTACACACACACACACACACAAACATACACACACACGCACACACAATTTGAGAACAACATTAAAGACAAGTAATACAGGGGAGCTCTGAGTGAAATAAGTAATCTTCAAACTTAAAAAATTGCAGAAGATGTTGTTATTGCATTTGTTTGTTAGGTTGTTTTTTGGGGTTTTGCTTTGTTTTTGAGAAAAGATCTCCCACTGCACTCCAGCCTGGGCAACAGAGCAAGATTCCATTTCAAAAAATAAAAATAAAAATAAAAAATTAATTATGGTAAAATAACACATAACAAAATGTACCATTTTAAATCATGTTTAAGTGCACAGGTTAGTGATATTAAGAACATTCATTGTTGCTGGCGCAGTGGCTCATGCCTGTAATCCCAGCACTTTGGGAGGCTGATGCAGGTGGATGGCTTGAGGTCAGGAGTTTGAGACCAGCCTCCTCAACATGATGAAATCCTGTCTCTACTAAAAATACAAAATTTAGCTGGGTGTCGTGGTGTGTGCCTATAATTCCAGCTACTCGGGAGGCTGAGACAGGAGAATTACTTGAACCCAGGAGGCAGAGATTGCCGTCAGCTGAGATCACACCACTGCACTCCAGCCTGGATGACAGAGTGAGACTCTATCTCAAAATATAAAGTATAATAAAATAAAATAAAGAACATTCATTGTTGGCCACATGTGGTGGCTCACACCTATAATCCCAGCACTTTGGGAGGCCAAGGCAGGAAGATTGCTTGAGCCCAGGAATGGTGAGAAGAAGAAACAGAAGCAGACAGAGGACCAAATTGAGGACCAGTTAAAACATGGAAGTCGCTTTTCATAAGACATGCCCACCAGCATACCATATCAGTTTACCATTGCCATGGCAATACATGGGAGTTACTGCCCCCTTCTATGGCAATGACTTGAGCACTCAGAAGTTGCCACCCTTTTCCTAGAAATTTCTGCATAAACTGCCCATTAATCTGCATGTGATTAAAAGTGGGTATAAATACGACTGCAGCAGTGCCCTGAGCTCCTGCTCTCTGCAGGAGCAGTCACAGAACTGTGACGCTACCTTCTCCATAAAGCTGTTTCTTCCACCACTGGCTTACTCTTGAATTCTTTCCTGAGGGAAGCCAAGAACCCTCCCAGGCTAAGCCCCAATTTGAGGCTCACCTGCTCTGCATCCATCTGTGATCTTTTCTTTGTCTTTCGTAGTCTGCAGTCACAGATGCTTCAAATTTTGGATTTATGTTTGTTTATCCCGCTTAGAACTACTTCCTATGTGTACTGCCAAATGCCTTCCTTCAATTAAATAATTGTTTTAGTCATGTTTCTTTATTTTTTCTTAAATGTTGACTCTTCACCATTTTTCTTATTTTGTGTTTAAGGAATCATAATTAACCGCAATTGATGATGCTTACAACAACAACATTTGTAATTATAATATTTATTGACTGCTTATTCTACACAAGGTGATTTCACGTTAATTAATGCATGTAATCCTCATAGCTACTCTGTGAAGTAGACACTGGTTTTCTCATTTTACACATGAAGAAACCAAATCACAGAGATGATATAGCTACCAGGAAGCAAAGTCAAGAACTTCAGCCCAGTATTTTTTCTCATAACCAGATGTGTATTGGACAGGAAGAGAAAAGAAGGAAAGAGAGAAAATCAAGAAGTCAATCTGTCTATAATAGTACTACTTCAAATTTTATGTGACCCTCTGCTTCATGAAAAAATTAAGTACTTATCATGATTTATTAGAAAGCTAGCATGCCTGGGTATAGAATCTGCAAGCAGAAGTTTCTAACTTATGACATTGGACCTGATGCTTCCATGAATTCTAGGAACAAAAAGCTCTACAAGAATCTGCTGAAGTCACCTTGATCTGCTCTTTCCCTTGGGCAATGGCACAATTATATACTAGAAAAAAATTGTACAACAAATGCTCCCCTCCAGGTTCACTGTTATATATGGACCCACTTTAATTTCACTGAGCTCTTGAAAGAACTGATTTCTGAGGATAAAACAGTGGGTGAGGCCATCAGTTTTTATCCCAAATGGAATGAATCAGTCAGGTGAGCTCTGCTCCTATGACCATTGTAACAGTAAGTTTGTGGTGGGTAACACATGGTCCCCATGGTCTCAGGGAGCTGTGGGAAGGATGTCATCTTCCTTGTCACACCCACAGAAGGGGAAGGTCCCACAGCATGGCTGCAGCCATGGTTTCCAAATTGTGTTGAACACAGAGAACTGCTGTGGGACAGGTGTTAGTGTCCTACGATGCTCTTTTATGGCTGCCTCCATCTTCTTGATCACGGAGTCAAATAATGGTTCATTGTCAGGGTTCAGTGGAAAGGCTTCTGAAGGGTCTCTTGAGATGTCAAAGAGGAGTGGTGGGTCGTGGTAGGTTACATCCCCTGAACATGAACATATTCCACTCCCAGAGCAGGCACCAGTTCCATCAGGGTAGAATTTGGGAGTCACATAATGAGCTTTCCACACAGTTGCACCTAAAAAGTAAGTTGCATTATGATACCATCTTGGTGGTGATTTTAGGACTCTTTTCATTAAAGATGTTTTTCTCAAATGCTTTTTCTAGTGATTGATAATACTCTTCTGCACAAAATTACACAGCAGCAGTAGCATGTCTTCAACTCTAAGAACAATGTACAATTTTACTGCAAACTTGAAGACATTTTTAGAAATCTTGTCATGAGAACATTTGGAGATAACAATGATGACCCAAGTGGGAATAGGGTAATTCTGGGAATACCAAATTAAAATTCTACCTCAATCTGATTAGGTACAAACAAAATTAAAAGTGATCCAAGGCTAAATACCACTTTCACATCTGAAATTGACAAAAGTAATTTGGCAAAATTAATCATTCTTTATCCTTTTCTCCTTCCCTCTTCTGTCTTTTCCTCCCTCCTCTTCCCTTCCTCCCTCCCTCTTTCTCGCTCTCTTCTTTCCTTCCTTCCTTCTTTCCTCCATTTCTTTTTTCTTCCTTCCTTTCTTTCTTTCCCTCCTTCCTTCCCTCCCTCCCTCACTCCCTCCTTTCCTCCTTTCTTTCCTTCCCTTCCTTCCCTTCCCCTTCCCCTTCCCCTTCCTTCCTTCCATCCTTCCTTCCTTCCTTTCCTTCCTCTCTCCCTCCCTCCCTTTCTTCTTTCTTCTGATATGAAATGGTTAGCAAATCTATTTTCAGAGATCAATTTTTTTTTATGTTTTATTATTTACTTATTTATTTATTTTGAGGTAAGCTCTCGCTCTGTCGCCCAGGCTGGAGTTCAGTGGCAGCATCTAGGCTCACTGCAACCTCTGCCTCCTGGGTTCAAGTGATTCTCCCACCTCAGCCTCCCTAGTAGCTGGGGTGCCACTGCCTGGCTGCAGTGATCAATTTTAGATAGAAAACATAAGCATTGCCCAGCCTCTGGTCAATGAGAATTTTACCAAAGTCTACTGGTGGAGTCTTGCAGAGAAGCTGTGCTTTCCTACTAAAATAGGATTAAATCATCTAACTGGATTCTTTACCGCCTTTGGTTTTTTCCCTCCTTACTGCATGGAGTGCAGGTGTGATGCCTGGAGGAACTGCAGCCACTTTGCAACCATGGGGTGAGACGCATAAGAATGAAAGCTAGTGTGTCAGAGGTGGCTAAGTGGAAACAAGAATCCTGGTCCCATGACCGTGGTACTGAGCACTGTGTCAGCCCCATGCTCCCAACTTCTGGAATTATGGTGAGAAAAAATAGTAACAAAAAAATTCTACTGTATAATCCTCTATAGTTAAATTTGGGAGGCTTATGCTGTTTACGGGGCTGTTTTATTTATCATTGATCATGTCCTGCACTCATATAGAATCTTAAAAACATAGGTTTTTACTTATTTTTGCTTTTGTAATTGTTTTAGGTAGGACTATCTGCATCAAAATGAAGATACATCACACCACAAGTGACTGATCCCATCAGAGAAAATTCCTCCTGCAAATAAAGTTAAATCCAACCAAGTAAGAATTCTGGAATTCCATGCAATGACTCCAGAAGACCTTTCTTTACAGGTGTAAGGCAATCAATACTATTTGTTAATTTATATTTGTTTCCATTGACTCCCATAGCGTGAATGTGGGACAGAAACAATCACTAGGATGTTAGAAAGGAAGGAAGGTGGAGAGAAGCAACCACCATGCAGGCCACGTTGAAAAATGTACTTCTGGTTGCTAGAATAATTACTTCAGTCATCCCTAAGTTGTGGGTATTCATAGTCTCTCTCTCTTGTTCTCTCTCTCATGTATACATTCACACAAGCTGATGCATATTACACACACACATTTAATCATGTTTTCTTAATTTTCTGTATCCTATAATGTTTTGACTTTTTTTTTTTTTTTTTTTTGAGGCAGGGTCTCACTTTGTCACCCAGGCTGGAGTACAGTGGCACGATCACTGCCAACTGCAGCCTCAGACTTCCCACTCAGCCTCCTGAGTAGCTGGACTACGGTTGTATGCCACCATTCCTGGCTAATTCTTTTTTTTTTCTTTGTAGAGACAGGGTCTTGCAATGTTGCCTAGGCTGATATCAAACTCCTGGGCTCAAATAATCCTCCTACCTTGGCCTCCTAAACTGCTGAGATTACAACTGTAAGCCACTGTGCCGGGCTAGTATTTTGACAGCTTGAGGGGCCTGATAGACTCGGGGAAAGACTGCTCCTCCCAGGGCTAGCTGATTCCTAAAAATAGTGATATGGTTTGGCTCTGTCCCCACCTTAATCTCACCTTGAATTGCAATAATCCCCACAGGTCAAGGGCAGAGCCAGGCAGAGATCATTGAATATGGGGGCAGTTTCTGCCATACTGTTCCCATGGTAAGGAATACATCTCACGAGATCTGATGGTTTTATAAGGCATTTCCCTTTTCGCTTGGCTCTCATTCTCTCTTGCTTTCCACATGTAAGATGTGCCTTCTGCCATGATTGCGAGGCCTCCCCAGCCATGTGGAACTGTGAGTCCATTAAATCTCTTTTTCCTTTATAAATTACCCAGTCTTGAGTATGTCTTTATCAGCAGCATGAGAATGGACTAATACAAATAGTAACAACTCACTTAAGAACACACCCTTCCTATGCAAGCAACCACCTCCTTTACCTAACTCTCACACAGTAAGCTGATATTTGATCTGACCCAAATCAACCAAGCACTGGGTACCAGGCAGCTAGGGACAGTCCCTGTTGCTCCAAACTTACTGTAATTACTCAAACTACCAGTCTGAAGCTGTTCACCCTGCCCTGCCTGACCTTTCCCTTGGAAACCCTAATAATAAAGGCTGCGGCCTGGGCTCTTCATTCCTTCCTGCCTGTGCTTCCAAGTCAAGCCCTGGTGCTTCCCACTGTGAACCTGTGTGGTAGGGTATAGCCCCTTCTCTCGGAAAATCTAAGTCATGAAAATATTGCAATGGCATTGGTCTGTCTGTGTCAACACTCACCTCCCTAAGCTAAAACGCTTTGGGTGGATTGGCTGTGGTGGGTCACACCTGTGGGAGGCCGAGGAGAGAAGATTGCTTGAGCTCAGGAGTTCGAGACCAGCCTGGGCCACATAGTAAGATCTCATCTTTATTTTATAAATATTTTTAAAATTTAAAATGAAACCCTTTGGGCACAAATCTCTCTCACAAACACATCCCCCTAAAATCCTACTGCAGGCCAGGCGCAGTGGCTCACGCCTGTCATCCCAGCACTTTGGGAGGCCGAGGTGGGCAGATCACCTGAGGTCTGGAGTTCAAGATCAGCCTGGCCCACATGGTGAAACCGCATCTCTACTAAAAGTACAAAAATTTACAAAACACTAGCCAGGAGAGGTGGCGGGCGCCTGTAGTCCCAGCTACTCGGGAGGCTGAGGCAGGAGAATCGCTTGAACCCAGGAGGCAGAGGTTGCGCTGAGCCAAGATCACGCCACTGCACTCTAGCCTGGGCGACAGGACGAGACTCTGTCTCAAAAAAAAAAAAAAAACCTCATAGACAAAGTGCAAACCAGAAACAATAATATCATTTAGCACACATGCAATCACACATACGTGTTTTGTTTTTGTTTTTGTTTGAAACAGGGTGTCACCCTGTCACCCGGGCTGGAGTGCAGTGACGAGATCTTGGCTCACTGCAATCTCCACCTCCCGGGTTCAAGCGATCCTCCCACCTCAGCCTCCCAAGTAGCTGGGATTACAGGCACGTGCTACCACACCAGACTAATTTTTGTATTTTTAGTAGAGATGGGGGTTTCAGCACGTTGGCCAGGCTGGTCTCGAACTCCTGACTTCAAGTGATCCGCCTGCCTCGACTTCCCAAAGTGCTGGGATTACAGGCATAAGCCACCGCACCTGCTCTATGCATACATGTTTTTATTCAGTAATCATTTAACATTTAATTGTGTAATGGTCTAGAAGCTGTGAGGGATGTGATGATGTATGAGAATCAGATCCCATCCATGAGAACAGTCAAACACACACTTTCATAAGTGTAATATGACAAAGAATATTAAGGTATACTCTAAGAAGAAAACAAAATATTCCACCATGCACCAAGGGGAGAAAGACATCTGGCCCTATGGGCAGAATATTGATAATTAAGTAATATACTATGCATATACACACACACATAGAATTATCAAGTATATCCACATATGTTCAAATATATCACCCTAGGTTAGGAGCAACCACTGTTTCCATACCTGTCCTGGGGCAAGATCCCTCCGCCTATATAAGACAGCGTCGGATAGATGTCCATTAGGCTAGTGGGCTCATTGATCACTCTCCCAGCCTCCAAGACCGACGGCCACCGGAATATCCCTGGCACACGGATACCTCCTTCCCATCCTCCCATTCCTTTGCCACCTAAAACCAAAGATTACAACACAACCAAAGATGAGTTAAAACCCAACCATACTGGCCGGGCGCAGTGGCTCACACCTGTAATCCCAGCACTTTGGGAGGCTGAGACGGGCGGATCACTTGAGGACAGGAGTTCAAAACCAGCCTGGCCAACATGGTGAAACCCCGTCTCTGCTAAAAATACAAAAACATCAACTGGGCATGGTGGTTGGCGCCTGTAATTCAAGCTACTTGGGAGGCTGAGGCAGGAGAATCGCTTAAACCCAGGAGGTGGAGGTTGTGGTGAGCCGAGATTGCGCCACTAAACTCCATGGTGGTCCATGCCCGTAGTCCCAACTACTCGGGAGGCTGAAGTATGGGGATCAGAGACGAGGAAGTGGAGTTTGCAGTGAGCTGAGATTGTGCCACTGCACTCCAGCCTCGGTGACAGGGTGAGACTCTGTCTCCAAAAAAGAAAAAAGAGAAAGAAAAGAAAAAGACGCGTTTTATCCACATTATACTGATCCTTGAGGAACAAGCTAAAAAATTTTACCCCGTGATTTCCCCTATAGAGGAAGAAAGAGAGGAGTGTGAGTAGAAAAATGGCCAGAGGCAGAGTTAAGAATCACTTCTTAGACAAAAGTCCCCTTGGGTGTTTCTGAGCACAAAACAAATGAAGCCCTTGCCTTAAGATCAATGGTGAGATTCAGGTGGTTGTTACAGAGTAGAAAAATGGCCCTATGCCAAATGCCAGTGTCAAGACCATATGTCTAGACTCTTTAAGAAAAAATAGGAGCCTCTCTGGAGGAAAAGGTCTCTTCCTATGTGAAATGTTTATTGAATGCCTTCTATGTGTGCACCTGTCTGACAGGCAGCGTTACAAAGAAACACAAAACCGGAAGCCTCTAGCAGAAAATTAGGTAAAATTCACTGCAGACACATTCACTGATCTACCAGTCTAACCAGTGTTGAAAGGCAGCTCAGCTTCTTGGCACCATTTTTTTTTTTTAAATTGAGACACTGTGTCCTTCTGTCGCCCAGGCTGGAGTGCAGTGGCACGATCATAGCTCACTGCAGCCTCCAACTCCTGGGCTCAAGCAATCCTCCCTCCTGAGCCTCCCGAGTAACACCATTCTTCGTTGTAAGAAAAACTTGACAAGCTCCCTGAAGCAAATCTATGTGTTTTTAACACACAATCATAAAGCCATCCTGATGTTTTCTTCATCTTATTTAATAACCTGTATCTTTGTGGGGCAGAGTGGGGGGCGTAACTAGACTAGAACAAAACCAATTGTTTATCCAGGAGATCTAAATCTCTCTATCCACTGAATTCACTGCTTCACAGGGAGCACCCTGAGAAACAGGTATCCTGTCCCAAAGCCTGAGAAATGCTCACAACAATTTTGCCAGAATCCTATTCCAGGGTTATGTGTGCTTTTTAAGGACAGGGGCTTTACACTCACACATACTCATGCAATTATAATAATTATTACAATATACAATATGTACAGTTGTTAGAATCATCATGACTGTAATAATCACATTTCATTAGATGGTATGTATATGGTGACTCAAACCTGTTGCTCACTTTTTCTACTAGGCTTAGTACCAATATAATCTTTGCTAATTAACAGTGATGACTATAGCAAGACTACATGACAAGTCAGAGGAGGTGAATGCTTTCAGGAGCTCACTTCTATTAATTTGCAATATATAATCCAGTATATACAATCCTATATATATATGTACATATATATTCACTATATATAATCCTATCTGTGCATGCATATACGTAGGGTTTTATATTGTAAATATAATGAATATATAAAGTGAATATGTATATTGAATTATATATATTATATATAATGGATATAGTGACTATATATACTTAGTAAATGTATATAGGATTATATATATTATACTGAATATAGTGAATGTATAAAATTATATATTATATACAATGAATATTGTAAATATATATAGGGTTATGTGTAATATATAATGAATATAGTGAGTATATATAGTGAATATGTGTAGGGTTATGTATACTCTATACAGTGAATATATAGAATTCTATATACTATATATAATAAACATAGTGACTATAAACATAGTAAATATATTTATAGAATTATATATTATATTATATATACTGATAATATAAAATTATGTGTAATGATCTATACAATAAATATACTAAATACATAGAATTATGCATATATATAATGAATATAATGACTATATATACATAGTGAATATGTACAGGATTATGTATATTATATGTAGTAAATATGTAAAATTACATGTATTATATTATATGTAATGAATATAGCGAATATATAGGATTATATGTGTTATATGTAATGATATAGTAACTATACATACATAGTGACTATATATAGGATTATATATCACATATGATGAATATATTATATATTATAAACAATTAATATGGTGAATATGTATACATAGTGATTATATAGATAGGAAAATATATATGTAAGACACACACACAGAACTTTTTAATGAAATACAAGGAAGTTCAAACATTCTGATTTTATAATGATGACAATTTTGATACCCTTTTAGTTTTTTTGTTTTACTTGGAAGGTTAGGGGGTAGTGGGAAAACAGCAAATACCGAATTCTTTTTTAAATTATTCTTTCTGTTGGTATGCCTTTGGTGATGCCTAAGTGTGGGTGCTATGGAGTTCTTGAACAACCCGGCATGAAGTCTATCAAAGTGAGCTGGAAGAATCTGCTGGCCATGAGGAGATAGGCACCCCAGTCAAATGAAAAACTATTTTTTCTGATAGACATAACACTCGTTAAAGCATAATAAATAGCATCATTGATGTTACCGAATTAAAAACCTGCATCTGAGAATCCAAGTGAGGATTGATCTAAAGGAGCAGTTCTCACCTAGAAATGACCTTGCCGCCAGGGGGCACTGGGCAATGTCAGGAGACATTTCTGGTTGTCGCTGCTCTGGGGTGGGTGCTACCGGCATTTGTGGGTGGAACCCACAGACGCTGTTCAACACCTACAATGGCACAGGAGGCCCCCAGCCAAAGAATCCTCCAGACTCAAATGTCAATCGTGCGGAGGCTGGGAAATCTGCCATAGATGGTCATTGAGATCCTATGCTCTCTCTCATGGGGTTGGCATTGCTTCAAACATTTTACTTTGAAGCTCTTGGAAACTGCTCCAAAATTTGCAGCTTTTTTTTTTTTTTTTTTTTTTGGTCTAGCTTAATAAGAGTCTGACTCACACAAAAATACCTGAACATCATGGCAAATGAATTCAAGCAAACGCAAAGCCAGTAGAGACTACTGATTTTCAATGGACAGGTGTTGGTTCTCTGCGCACAATCACCTTTGTAGATCCCGTTCCAGCCGCCCAGCTGAACAGCCCCGTCCAGGGGCTCCAGGTGGCCCCCGTTGTCAGAGGTGAAGTACACCAAGGTGTTGTTGGCCAGGCACTCCCGGTCTAGGGCACCCAGAATTTTACCTGGTGAGGGTCAGAGACACAAAGACGTTGACCTCTCGATGCAGATCACCACTGCTTTATTATATGTTTGCTATTATGCATTTATTACACATAGCATTTAAATGTTATTCTGCATTACACAATATTGTATAATTAATCATATAATATTGTAATATATACTATTTTAATCTGTATGTAATATAGTATATATAATATATATTATATCCAGCAGTTAAAATATTTAATATATAATGTAATAATGTATATGTTATATTTAATATAATAATATACACTTTCATACATTTTAATTACCAACTATATATTTATTATATATTGTATGATATATAGTACATATTTCTTACAAATACATATTAATATATAACATGATGTATTAGAAATGCATAAAGAATTGTTATATATTAAAATGTAATCAATTATGGAATAGAATAAAATATATTGCAATATGTATAATCAATACATATTATGTATTATTATACCATATGACTTTACAATACTAGAAACATCATTATATAATAGTTTATGATTATTAATACACTATATCATTGTGTAAAAATTGTTATATAATTATATAATAGCATGTAAATATTATTTTATTATATAGTATTTTGTACATCAATGTAATATGTAAAAATATGTTTATTTATAGATATATAGGAAAAGATATTAAATATAAGATAAAATATGAGTATATGTAATAAATGTAAAATATATAAGGAATATATAAAATTTTATAATATATCTAATATATGAAATTTTATCATAAATTTATATCATTTATATGAATATATACTATATTATTTTATACAATTGTATGATATTGTGTGTCACATATCACATTAATTTTATTATATTAATGTAATTATATAAATTATATTAAATATACTAAATACATTAATTATATTAATTTAAAATATAGAATAGTTTGTATATAATATATAAAGTATTGGTTTATTATATAATTTTATTGCATATGTTCATTATTTTATTATTTAATATATAATAAAGTCTATTTTATTATACAAATCATGTAATAATATATAACGTCATCATTGCCCCAAACGATTCAAATAGACAATGCCAACTAGGCCCAGCAGTTAAATGAACCGATGAACATTAATTTTTAAAAATACAGTTTGCAAAATGACACCTCCAGGAACACCTGAGCAAAGCCATCCTCGTACTCCAGGGCACGCACCGCCTCCCTTAGAGATTTTGCTGTCCTGGCTGCTATCTGAAGTCTACATGGAAATTGCAGGTTATTCTTGCTGCCCGGGTTATGGTTAAGATCTAATGACAATTAATGCTGCGCTAGACTCAGCAGACACTGTCTTTAAGGTGTTGACAATCCCTCAGGAGGACAGTTTTTTAAAATAATAAGTAGAAAGCTGTTCTAGCAAAATTCCAAACAACATTCATTTCCTTTCTGATGTCTGTTGAGCATTTGCTAATCAGCAGATAACATCGTCCTGGGCCTGAGGTCCCAATGCACTTCTCGTTTACACTAGATCATCTCTGTGATGCTCTTGTCCCATTCAGAGATAAAAGAAAATGTAAGGAGCCGCACAGAAAACTGTTTATACGTAAACTCATTAACCTTTGTTATCTACTGTTCAAAAGTGATTTGTTTTACAAGTGACATATACTAGTTTTTAGAAATGTTATCATTAGAAATTAAGATATTTTAAAGCCCAGGGTTTGTAACATGAAAGATCATAAAGCCTTTCTGGGAAGAGAGTAATTATATGTAAATTATCAATTCACATTAGATCTGGCTATAATACCAAAAAAATCATAAAAGTGATTTGTAATTTATACTGTGCAAATATAGTAGCTGCAAATTCTTTTTCTGTTTCAAAACAAATACATAGGCAAATAATTGTCCGTAGAGTGTCTACAGTGAAAATAGACAGATGCATATGAATATATAAATACTAACGGGAATAGATCACTTGTAAGACCTCTTACCAAAGACAACTGGAAAGAAACCAATAATGAAAAGTGATTAAGGTTGGGCCCAGTGGCTCACACATGTAATTCCAGGACTTTGGGAGGCCGAGGTGGGAGGTTTACTTGAGCCCAAGAGTTCGAGACCAGCCTGGGAAAGATGGCAAAACTCCTTCACTACAAAACACACACACACACACACACACACAAATTGGCCAAACATGGTGGTGCACACTTTTAGTCTCAGCTACTCAGAAGGCTGACGTGGGAGGATCACCTGAGCCCTGGAAGTCAAGGCTGCGGTGAGCTGTGATCGCACCACTGCATTCCAGCCAGACTGGGCAAAAGAGTGAGACCCTGCATCTTAAAAAAAAAAAAAAAAAAAAAAGGGGGGGGGATTAAAAGTGTTTTTTAATAGGCACAAGTTTCTTTCATTGGAAAATTTAAAATGTCATTGAATTCTTGAAGATTCATTAAGTTCATTTTGCACCTCGTATTTGCATTTGCATGAGTATAGCATTGTTAAGGTTTATTTTTGAGTAAAGTTAATAAATTACTAAACCTGTGAGTTTTATACTCATATTGTTAAATAGTAAAATAATACCCACAGAGATACCTGTCTGACTTTCAACATGTCTTCATTTTGGTAGAATTTTTATAAGAAATGATGGAGAAAACTCAGAATATTGGGAGATGTTTTGCAGAAAAATAGCTACTCATCATTTCTCCTGTGTCAAATAATATTAGCCATTTAATAATGCAATTGCTAGCTTCTGTAACACGTCTTCATCATGTATTTACATATACCGTAAAACAAACATAATTATTTCTCAGTGATAAATACTCAGATATTGACTTTAACAGAAATTCCCTTTGCAGGAAACTGTCCTTTGACTAAGTACAAATATAGTAAAAGCAATTTCAAAAGAAGCAAAGAAAAAAAAATCCCAATTATATAATTCCATAAAGGCTACAATGTTATAGCGGTTTTTAACTGTAACACATTTCAATGTTTGTATTTCATTACCAAGGAATTAAATTATATATAATAAATGTGTATATATGCAACATACAGTACTATGTGTGTGTATATATATATATAAAACATAACATGTGTATACATATAAACCATATGGTGTGTGTGTATATATATATGTATATAACATATGGTGCTTAATTCCTATTAAAATTAGCTATAGTATTATGCATAAAAGTGATCTGTAATTTATACCATGCAAATAAAATAACTGCAACTGGGTGTATATATATATATATATACACACACATACACTTCCCACAGCAAAGATTAAATTAAGAAATACAGAGCTTAGCTTTAGTTCAACAAGCTTAAAAAGGGTTTGGATGTCAGGGATTAGTTCCCTTTAAGCCCTTAAGTTTTTCCCTTTAATACATTCCTTTTTTCTCCCCATTTCTGCTTAAATGCCTTACTGGCAGCCTGGCAGCACTGCCTTTCCTTGTATTCTTTTTTTGTTGTTGTTGTTGTTGTTGTTGTTGAGACAGGGTCTCGCTCTGTCACCCAAGCTGTAGTGCTACCTCCACCTCCCAGGCTCAGGTGATCCTCCCTCCTCAGCCTCCTAGGTAGCTGGAACTCCAAGGCATGTGTGTGACACCATGCCTGGCTAATATTTGTATTTTTCTGTAGAGATGGAGCCTTGCTATGTTGCCCAAGCTGGTCTCAAACTCATGGGATCAAGCAATCCTCCCGCCTCGTCCTCCAAAAGTGCTGGGACTACAGGCATGAGCCACCACACCCCGCCCCTCTCTGTATTTTATCTCCTCTTTGGGATTAAATATAGATGGTAAATATTACAATGGTACCTAGAATTTGAGGGAAACACACACAGTGGAAATATACAAGAGAAATTTATCCCATGACAGGATTCCCCTCTTTGTCCTATCTGACACCACTAGCTCTTTGGTAATTTTAACTAGTTTTTTATAGCTCACTTAGATTGTGGTTTTCAGAGAAAAGAAAGTTATTTATAATAAAATTTGATTAACACCCCTTAAATGCATTTAAATTAAAATAGCTCCGTTTCTTTCAAAGGCACTCCATATAAATAGACAGAGGCGGCTGATAACTGGGAGATTGTTAGTTTAGATGGTTTGGCAGAGCACCGTTTTCAGAAGTTTGCACTCAGAAGAAGAAAAGTACTGTATTCCAAAATGAAACACCATTGCTGAGAAGAAGGACAACTCTGCCAGGTACATAGAGGCTGGGTGGGCGAATGCAATTCAACTAGCACAGCTAGTTATTATTCTGGAATGCATACAGTGACGCTTCCTGCCTGCTAATTTATTATCCTTAGCATTTCTTTATAGTGAACACTATGCCTTTGAAATAAATTGCTTTAGTTGTGTTAAATCCCCATCCCAAATTTCTGTGTATTTCCTGTAGAACTGACTAATCAGAATAACATTTCCCTTTATATCCATCAAAATAACCAGGAATTGAAATTACAATATTCTTTTTTTTTTTTTTGAAACGGAATCTCGCTGTGTCACTCAGGCTGGAGTGCAGTGGTCTGATCTTGGCTCACTGCAACCTCTGAATCCTGGATCCAGGTGATTCTCCTGCCTCATCCTCCCAAGTAGCTGGGACTACAGGCCCACATAACCATGCCTGGCTGATTTTTATATTTTTAGCAGAGACGGGGTTTCACCACGTTGGCCAGGCTGATCTAGAATTCCTAACCTTATCAAGTGATCTGCCAGCCTCGGCCTCTCAAAGTGCTGGGATTATAGGTATGAGCCACTGTGTGCCCGGCCAGGAATTACAGTATTCTTTACAGTGCAACTTTATTTATCCTGCCAATGAGTTTTTCAGAAAAGTGACTGTCTTTATTTTAAAGATGGGAAAACTTACATTTACAAACTGTGACTTCTATTGGGGAATATATTTCACTGGTATTGCTGAACAATTAAAAGCCATCTTTTAATTCAATTCAGGGATGAAACAAACACTTATCAGGTATTTATGCTATGCAAGGGGCTGGACATAATTTGAGACAGTACAGATTTATTTTTCTGTAGCCCGTACTTCAGATATTTACAGTTCTGTCACTGAATACTTACCCACCATCCAATCCATTTCTTCTACATTGTCCCCATACCTGCCATATTTACTGTGCCCAACAAACTTCTCTTTGGAGATGAGTGGAGTATGTACGTGCAGGAACGAAAAAAAGAGGAGAAAAGGTTCCCGTTTGACCCTAAGGGGTAGAAAGTTACCAAAATTACCTTCACAAATAAAGCCATTTCCACCATTTAAATGCGATTCTGCATTGATGAAAAGATCTCATAATGGTTGCTGGAGGTTTTCTATGTACTTCAGATGACAATACCTCTCCTGTGAGTCGTAAATACCACGAGGTTTATGTTGAAAGGATATGAGGAGGAACGAAGGATAACAGAACATTTGTGTTCCCAGTGAAATGTTTCATGTAGCCAGGCGCAGTGGCTCATGCCTATATTCTTTGCACTTTGGGAGGCTGAGACAGGAGGATTGCATGAGCCCAGGAGTTTGAGACCAGCCCGGGCAACAGGGCAAGACCCCGTCTCTACAAAAAAATTCAAAAATATAGCTGTGCATAATGGCACACCTGTGATCCCAGCTACTCAGGAGGCTGAGGCAAGGGGTTCACTTGAGCTTGGGAGGTGGAGGCTGCAGTGAGCTATTATCACAACACTGCACTCCAACCTGGGCAACACAGTGAGACCCTGTCTTAACAACAACAACAAAAATGTTTAATGTGGTTCATTTTATACTCTCTTGTGTCCAGTTTAGCATCTGACATAAAGTAGCAGCTTAATAAATCTTTTAATCTTTGCTGAATGAGTTATCAAGTATGAATTCTCCTCATCTATTGTCTCAAAGTGTTCTTTTAGGTATGAGTTCAGAAGAATCATATCTTAAGGACAGACTCAGATGTGCCACAGTAAGGATTTGATGCTCCTTACTTTCCATTTTCCCTTCTTTCTTTCTTCCACCTCCTTCATGGTTCCTGGAACATAAGTCTGATGGCTGGAGCTTTGGCATCCACCTTGGGCCATGAGGCTGCTCACAAAGGTGGCAGAGAACAAGATAAAAGCTGAGGTGTGAATAACCTCACTGTATCTGTAGCCTGCCTACCCCAAGAGAGAAATAAATTCTCCTCATTTACATCTTGCTTTTTGTATTCTGCATTTTATGTATTTATTTATTTTGAGACAAGGTCTCACTCTGTTGCCCAGGCTGGAGTGCAGTGGTGCAATCATGACTCACTGCAGCCTCGACCTCCTGGGCTCAAGTGATCCTTCCACCTCATCCTCCCAAGGAGCTGAGACCACAGGTACATGCCACCAAGCCTGGCTAATTTTGTACATTTTTTGTAGAGATGGGAGCTCACTATATTGCCCAGTCTGGTCTCAAACTCCTGGGCTGAAGCAATCCTCCTGCCTCAGCCTCCCAAAGTGCTAGGATTACAGATATGAGCTACCACGCCTGACCTTGTGTTTTGCATTGCCACATACAGTCATTCTAAAGCTACTCCTTTACACATTTTTACAACCAGCATAGAAAGAAGGGAAGGAGTTGGAGATTGAATATGTTCCCAAAAAGGTAGCCCAAGCAAATGGGTTGGGATGGGAAGAGAAGGTAAGATGAACGGAGAGCTGAGTGGGTGGCTGTATCACTGTTCTCGTGGTCGTGTTGGAATAAATAATGAATCTGACGGGCACAGGGGCATATGAGTGAATGATATTCCACTGCGTACCCTTCAGCCTGGTGGAGTAACAATATAGCCTCCCCTCTCCACTCCCTGTCAACCCCACTAAGGAAGGTGACAAACAGTGTCAATGAGAATCCACACCAACAATTTTAATGTGCCTCTAATTTGTAATCTAGGCTGGGCACAATGGCTCACACCTGTAATCCCAGCATTTTGGGAGCTCAAGGCAGGAGGATCGCTTGAGCCCAGGAGTTTGAGACCAGCCTGGGCAACATAGCAAGGCACTGTCTCTACGGAAAAATAATTTTATAAAATTAACTGGGTGTGGCCATGTGCGTCTGTAGTCCCAGCTACTCAGGAGGCTGAGGTAAGAGGATCACTGGTGCCCAGGAGTTTGAGGCTACAGTGAACTATGATTGCACCACCGCACTCCAGCCTGAGTGACAGAGTGAGACCCTGTCTCCAAATAATAATAATAATAATAATTTGTAATGTAGAAGTGAGCTGGTATGGGATGATGAGAGCTCATTACAGTCATGCCTGCATAGCTTGTGTTGAACATAGAAAACTTAAAACTGGGTATCTATAAATACAGAGCCACCTCCCAACAGTTCATGGACAGAGAACTCTTCCAGCTGTGTCTGAATATGTGTCTGGGTATGTGTCCGAGACAGAGGAAAAAATTTACCCCCCAAGTTTAATCAATTTACACAACAATCCACACTGAAGCAATATAGAATAAAATATGGCAACTCCAGTTTTTGTTTTCAGAAAAGGGGTAAGTGGCCGGGCATAGTGTAATCCCAGTACTTTGGGAGGCCGAGGTGGGTGAATCGCTTGAGCCCAGGAGCTTGAGATCAGCCTGAGCAATATGACAAAACCCCCTTTCTTAAAAAAAAATGCAAAAATTAGCCAGGCATCATGTGTGTGCCTGTAGTCTCAGCTACTCTGGAGGCTGAGGTGGGAGGATCACTTGAGCTTGGGAAGTCGAGGCTGCTGTGAGCCATGATCGCACCACTGTACTCTAGCCTGGGTGGCAGAGTGAGATCCTGTTCCAAAAAGTAAAAAAAAAAAAAAATTAAAACATTAAAAATGGGAAAGTGAGCAAAATATGTGGGTTTTTTTGTTTTTGTTGTTTTGCCTTTTGAGCATTCAAAATTTGCAGGATATTTAACTGTTTTATTCTACCTAAGAGGAGACTCAAGTCTATCACAAATGTCACCTACATTTTTTTTCCTCAGCTTTTATTTTAGATACAGAGTCTCCATGTGCTGGTTTGTTACCTGGGCCTTTTACACTCAGGGAGTAAGCAGAGCACCCAATAGGTAGTCTTCCAACCATGTCCCCCTGTCTCCCTCTCTCCTCTAGAAGTTTGCAGTCTATTGTTTCCATGTTTATGTCCATGGAGGCTCAATGTTTAGTTCCCATTATATCCCATGAAATACTACACAGCCATGAAAAAGAATGAGATCATGTCTTTTGCAGCAACACGGATGCAGCTGGAGGCCATTATTCTAAGCAAATTAATGCAGGAACAGAAAGCCAAATACCACACATTTTCTCCAAAAGATTTTTTGTTGTTGTTGTTTTTGAGACAGTCTCGCTCTGTCGCCCAGGCTGGAGCACAGCGGTGCCATCTCGGCTCACTGCAAACTCCGCCTCCCGGGTTCACGCCATTCTCCTGCCTCAGCCTCCCGAGTAGCCGGGACTACAGGCGCCGCCACCTCGCCCGGCTAGTTTTTTATGTATTTTTAGTAGAGACGGGGTTTCACCGTGTTCGCCAGGATGGTCTCGATCTCCTGACCTCGTGATCCGCCCGTCTCGGCCTCCCAAAGTGCTGGGATTACAGGCGTGAGCCACCGCGCCCGGCCTCTCCAAAAGATTTTTAAAGGTCCGTGTTATCAAGGTGTGACGACCTGCCATGAAATAAAAATAAAATTTCCACGCAAGAAATCAGACAAGAAATGGCTAAATACCTTTCAATGAAAGCTAGCGCCTCCTTCAGCATGAGGGAAGCTACTTTCTCCTCTTTCATCGGCTGCTGGATAATTTCATGGTTCCTCATAAGGATGCAATTCCAACGCCGAGTAAATCCATAACTGGAATACCAGGAAGTGAAAAACAGAAAGGCGAGGAGAGCAAAGACAAAGATGACCTTCCACGGCACTGAGAACCAGCGGGCGAACTTGGGAATGAGAAGCAGAAAAGGAACCAGGGCAATGGCCACCGTGGAGATCCACAGTTTGATCCTGAGCCAGCGGTGCAGTTCTGGTGTCTTGGATGCCTGGCAGTCGCTTAAAAGTCCGAAAGGCACCCCATAAAAGTAGTGAAAACCATGGTTGAGCGGGTGGTAGCAGTGATCATTCCGAGAGGCGCAGCTCAAACCCAGGTGCCATTTGCCTAAAAGTAAAATAAAATCATACCACGGCAGCAGGGCAGCATTCAATGCTGGTCTGTTTCTAGAATGTGGGCTTCCCTTTGGAAAACTCAGATATAACTTTCATTTTGTGGTCATCATGGTTTTTTCCTGGTGTCCCCGAATACCTCCCTGGTATAGACATGGACCCACAGCCTTCTCCCTGCAATGTGTCTCTTTCAGACACAAGCCATGCCGCAGGAGCCCCTTTGCTTTTGCTACAAGGAGAGGAGCCTAGTGTTCATTCAGAAGAAATCTTTTGCTTGGTACCAAACAACCTCATGAACAATGAGAAAGTTTCCAGGTATCTGGAGCTTGCTAGGAAGCCAGAATCGATGTCTTGGTTGTTTGGTGGGGACAATACCAAGGACTCTCGGTGCAGCTTGCACATTCATGCTTTTAGCTAGCAGTGCCTTCCCACCCTCTGATTCCATCTCACTGAAAGGTAACCAAGATTTTATTTATAGATGGAACACCTCTTCTAGGTCCGCAAGCTAGGGATGACAAACTAGCCAAAGAATTTCATCAAGAACCAAATGATTCTGATGATGCAAGTAATTCCTTTTATCAAGCACCTCCTCTAGGGGGCCAGGTCATGTTCTGATTTGTCCACACACATTATTGTATTCAACACTTCACAGATCCTGTATTATGAATAGAAAACACATTGTCTAGATTATTTTTTTAAGAGACAGAGTCTTGCTCTGTTGCCCAGGCTGGAGTGCAGTGGCATGATTATAGCTCACTGCAGCCTTGAACTCCTCGGCTCAAGCAATCCTCCCGCCTCAGCCTCCTGAGTAGCTGAGACTATAGGTGTGTGCCACCATGCCCAGCTAATTTTAAAATTTTATTTTGGTAGACCCAGGGTCTTGCTCTGGTGGCCTAGGCTGGTCTTGAACTCCTGGCTTCAAGCAATTCTTCTGCCTCAGCCTCCCAAAGTGCTGGGATTACAGGTCTGTGCCACTGTGCCCAGCTATCTAGATTTATTCAGAAGCCCAAGTCACATTAATGAATAATGGCAGAGTCAGATCTGAATCCTGTGCTCTAATGATGTGAGAACACTGCTCAAAGCTAATCTGGAGAACTCCCACTCACAGGACACTGCTGGGAGTTGCATGGGAATACCTGCCCTACTGATGGAAAATCTCTTAACCTTTTTTTAACTGAGAATATCTCAGAGCTGTGGCTTACAATTCATATTAGGAATCCTCAAAAATAGTGAACCATACAATGCTTTGGGGTAGCATTTCCCAAAAGGATTTGATCACACAAGTTATTCTTTCTTTTTTTTTTTTTTTTTTTGTATTGCTGTTTTATAGCCCTAAGAGCGCCAAAGGCAGAACTTTTTTATAGTCATTAGACTATATTCATAACTTGGTAAAGCTTGGATCATTAGAAGATTGTAATATTGCGCAGACAAACGTCCAGTAAGGAAGCCTGTAAAAGTTTCATTTCCTTTTTTTTTCTCATTATACTTTTTTCCCCACTGTGTCTAGTTTGTCCAATCTCCATCCTCCGAGATACGAGTAGATCCACCTTATCATCAGACACTCGGCATGGTCTCCGCTAGCCTTAAAGACATCAGGGGCCTCTTGAGAAGATCTTAGCACAAAGTTACCTGAATGGGTGGGTTGACCCGCAAGTTGGCAAATTGCCAACAGGCCTAAACCCTGTCCACTATATGCACAGAGATGGGCAGGTGCAGTGACATTTTGGCAGTATTTCCCCGGGACCTCTGCTATTCCTGCAATAACCTCAGACAATGACTTCTCTCGCAGAGAACCCTTCTCTACAGTGGCAAAGACTGACCACTGTGGCACGGGAGACTTCCACCTACAGGGAGGGCGGTCGAGTCCAACTTTACCTCCCGTGAGAGGCACACTGGTTAGCCTGCTGGCAGGGATTAACACACGCCCGTTTGATTTTAGATCCTAATATTCTTGTAGTTGACATTTTTTTTGAGAAATTCCTTATACAGATTTGAAAGAACTATCATTAGAATGCATTCATAGGTGGGAACTCGAATGCTTGCTGCCTTTTCCATTGCCTCACTGACTTGATGGGGTCCGGCCGGTCGGAAGGCGCCCCGACTTGGGGTGGCACATGAAGCAGACCTGCGAGATGCTGGGTGAGCCTCACTCCCTCATTTGCCAGGCGGTCATATTAGTGTGCTGCAGACCAAAGGAGAATTCGGCGGTAGTTTTCTAAAAGAAATTCTCTATAACACCTGATCAGCGGGTCAAGCCTATTCTAGTTGACTCTATTCTGTAAAACCTAAAATTCATTTTTTTTACACTTTTAATCTCTCTAGCTTCCTTAGATGCATTGAACGCGTTTCAAAGGCAAAGCGGAACAATGTCCCAGTTTAAATATATGTTTAGTGTCCAAAACTATTACAACATGAATACAGGGTCACTCGTATACAGTTTTATGAGTGCTGAGACAAAATGTATTTCCATGAAAAATTCGCCATTCTCTTCTTATCAAATGGACCTAAAATTAATGGGGTAACTTTAGCAGTAAATAAAGTTTTAGATGTGTTTCAATAATTTTTTTAAGAGACAGTCTCTTGCTCTGTTGCCCAGGGTGGCAGTGTAGTGGTGCAGTTATAGCCTCAGCTGCAACCCTGGAATTCCCTGGGCCTCAAGTGAATCCTCCCACTCAGCCTCTCAAGTAGGCTAGCGTCCACATGGTGTGCACCACCATGCCTATGCTACTTTAATTTAAATTTTTATTTACTTTATTTTTTTTTTTTTTGGAGAACAGGCCTCCCACTCTGTTACCATTCGCTGGAGTACGGTGGCCACGATCCCGGTCCCTTGTAATCTCCGCCTCCCGAGTTCAAGTGATCCTCCCTGCCTTCCGCTCACCCGACATCGCACTGGGATTCAACACGA